TTATTTTTAGTGTTATGCCGCCGAAAAAGAGTTGGAAAAATATTTCGAATTTATCTGGTGGAGAAAAGGTATTTCGTATGTTTCCAATGTTCATTTTAATATTACTTGATATTTAATGAATATTTATTTGTCAAAATACAGACACTTAGTTCTTTGACTTTGGTATTCGCATGGATGAGACTGATGCGGCCTTGGATTTTCGCAATGTGTCAATCGTCGCTAACATTATTAAAGAACGTACTAAGGACGCACAATTTATTATTATGCTACTTCTGAAATTGCATCTGTTTCGGCTATTTTTTTCCTTTCTGCTTCTAATTTTTCTTCCTCCTCCTTTATTAGTTTACGTAATAACATGTTTGAATTGGCGGAGGAATTTATAAAATTCATGATCAGGTAAGATTCTTACGCGCAAAATGATATTTTTTTATGAAATATTATTAATTTTTTATGAATAATGCTATTTTAGACAAAATCCGTTACTATTGATTCACATGAAATTGGAAAATAGTTTTTTTTTTGAGGGGCGTTCAATTAACTGTGTAGTTATTAGCTATGTTAAATAATATAATGTCTATATTCACGTCAAGTTAAAAAAAAATATTGGTCTGACCAATAAATTATATTTGTAAAGGTATTAATTTTTTCACTTGAATTATAATAATTCAAATTTATTTTCAATAAAAAATTCTACCAATTTTCTAATATAAATAAAAAATCAATTAGTAAAATTGCTTAGTTTAATAAGTAGTCTAATTTTTTTGTTATCTATTATATTTTTGTAAATCTAAAATATTAGTATAAAAGATTTTATTAATTTGTTTTTATTATAAGTTTGATATGTTTACAATTAATAAATAGATAAAGTTATAAAGAAATATATATTAACAGAAAAATTAAATGATCATCATACTTGCTAATAATGATCTAAATTAAAGACATATAGGATATATTGATCCTGCAATAATATAGTGATCCTTCAAGTACTGTAAGATTTTTACAAAGATAGATGATTCTAAAAATGATTCAATTTTCAATTTTAGAAAATATCAGGTAAAAAAAAATGTAGAAATTAATATTGAAGAGAAGAAAAGTTAATGAATTAATTTTAAAAGATAGTAAAAATGATTCAGAATGTGAATATTATAAAAATGAAGAGGGAAGTTATATTAATATTTGAAGCTAGTTAATTAAAATATCAATTAAAAATAAATAAACAAATCTTAAAATTCTTAATTACATTAGTATGTAAAAATAAAAATCATTTTATTATCTTATGAAAATAAAAAACATGATTTTATATAAATTTATCTTTTAATCATGAAAAATAAGCTTTTTTGAATATTTATGTTATATAAATATTTTTATTAAAATTGTATATTAATATTAAAAAAAATTATTAAAAATAATCTATTAGAATTATTCTTATTAATTAATTTTTAATTTATTTAATTCAACTTTAATAAATTTAATTGTAACTACTATTAAGTATTTGGATAATATTAATTTTTACAAAGTCTAATATTAAAAAGTATCAAAATATTATCTATGAATAGATTACTATAAATGGTGAATAATATCTAAGTTTTAATTATAATAATACTATTTTTTAAAGATACTATATGTAGTGACAATCAGTAATCATAATTGTAGTAGTATTTATATATATAATATTACAAAATCCAAAATAAGTTTATAATTAAATAAAAAATAAAAAATAATGAAAATATGATATATAACATATTTAAATATATTAATAATTTAATTATTATAATCAATCTAGAATTTAACATATCTATTTTAAATAATATCTGTACTAAAAAGAATTATAACAAGATGATTTATAAGATTATATTAATTTGATTAATAAATTATGATAGTATATAAGATATAATCTTTTTTTTTATTAAATTTATGTAATTTAAAAAAGAGAATAAATATATAATTTAAATATTCTAAAAAATATTATTACATATTTATAATAATTAAAATTTATGATAATAAGAAATAATTTATTAATAAATATGCATAATAAACTGCAACTTCATGAATGATAGATTATAGAAGAATTTCTTTATAATTATCAAAAATGTCAATCAAAAATCTATTTAAATAATTTTTATTTATATATTTTAAAATACTAAAATTTATCATTTTAATTTCTTTAAAATATTAACTAACTATTTTAAAAAATAATCTTTTTTAAGAAAATTTACTTAAACATTATATTATTATAATAATCAAATTAGAAAAATCTTATATTATCATAATTTGTTTTAAAAATTCTAATACTTGAAAAAAATATTATAAAAACTGTATTTAAAAAAGTAAAGAAATTTGAAACATTTTTTAAATATATTAGAAAAAATAAGATTATATATTTTAATTGTTATAATACAATATTAATTAATAATTCTTTATATTTATATAATATGCTTTAAGCTAGTATAAAAAAGAGAAATAAATACTAATAAAAAGAAAATTTTGTTTTTTTTTAAATATATTAAAATAATTACAAAGATCCTTTATAAAAGAAAATTTATTAATAAATCAACTATTATTATATAATTGAAGAATTTTTATATAATAATAGAGTTTAAAAATAAATATTTAAAGATTTATTAGATAAAATAAATGTAAAACGTTATTAATATAAGATGTCACAAAATATCTCAAGCAAATTGAATAAAGATTTATTGATAAATAAATAAACTAAAAGCTAAAAATACTAAAATAAGAAAATACAAAAAAAGAATTAATCACAAATAAAAAAGAGTAGCCTTATGCTATTTTTACAAAAAAAGGTTGCAAATAGTCATTGTTAAACTGATCAGATTGCATCTAGCAATTGATAGTTACTTTCTTATTAAGAATTTAGTCCTCTTTATATACTTTTTAATGTAAATCTAATATATCATATATGTTAGGTATATCTGATAAATCTGCACTTTTTTGTATTACATAAATTAAATATATCTATTAAATTAATCATATTAACTGTATCACTTATGTAACTATTTATAATATATTATATAGATTAATTATGTTACAATAGTCCTATTACAGTAAGTAATATATTTAAAAAATTAACTGAATTAAAATTAATATTAGATAGTATTATTCAACTTGTAATTATTTCAAAAATTCAAATAATAAATTTTTTATTGTAAAGTTACATAAATTATAAAAAAATATTTATGATGGTAAACATTATGCAATAATAGCTTTAAGAGAAACTTGATAGAATAGTTATTATAAAATATGTACAAGTCTTTTAAGAATACAAAAAACTTTACAGTAAATTATATAAAAAACTTATTTAGATTAGAAAAAAGATAGAATAATTGAAAGCAGCTATTTTTCTTATTGTTATGTCTATTACATCCTGAATATTGAATAGAATAATTTAAAGATAATATAAAAATTAATTATACTACTTTTAGAAAATAATTAATCTATTATTATCAAGTATAATTTAGAATAAAACCAATCTGTATTTTACGTGAATTTGATGATTTTTGCTTAGAAAAATATCTATTTAATTATGATACATATAAACAATTTAATAGTGATATTTTGACAATATTGGTATTTTGCAAAAATATTTACTAATAAATTAAGCTTAGTTACCTGTAAAATATTTGGAATTTATGTGAATGTAACCTCTATTAAATATTTTTGAAGTTGTATAAATTTTTTATAAACAAATTAACAAAATTGTTTAATAGTAAGTGTTTATTATTATTTTATATTAAAATTAATAAATACTATTTTTTTTTAGTTAGTAAAAATACTTAATATAAGTAAATTAAGAATAGATATTATATGAAATAATCATTTTAAATCTGATTTTTATCCAACTTCATTAAATATTACAATTGATACTAATAGTCATGAACATTCTAATATAAATGATAATGAAAATAGTAAAGAAACTAAAAATCTTTCTTTAAAAGAAGAATTAGAAAAGAAAGATTTATTTAATTTAGAAGAAAAATCAGATTATTTAAAGAATTTGGTAAATATTTAGAAAAATAGATAGAGATATTAGAAGAAGAAATTTTTAATGATTTTGATATGAAATTTAAGAATAAAGAAGAATCTATAATAATTAATAATTTTATTCATTCTATAATTGATTCTAATATGAAATAGAATTTAAAAATACTTTTTAAGGAATTATAAGTTCTTTTTAAATAATATTTTTAAATTTATTATTTGATGATTTTTTTATAAAAATCAAAAGTTTTTCATTTAAATATTATGTTAAAAAAAAATAAATAAAAAATGAATTTATCGAAATTCTTGTAACTTTAAAGAATTTAAATTAATAAATTATCACCATTTTCAAATTACTATGATTGGCAAATTGTCAATCAATTATAATTAAAATACTAAAAACACTGAAAACAACTGAAAACATGTGCAAATTTTATTTAAAAATTCTCTAAATGATTATTGGTTGATTATTTTTAGATCTGATCACTTGATAATCTATGTAATACTAAAATTACGCAAAAAAGAAGTTAAAGTAATTTTTTGTGTTTAATTATTTATAATAAAAATGATGAAAAATTCTGTTTACAAATATCTTCTTAGCACTTGTTATACCTGTCAAAAATATCTATGTTGTTTTAAACTTTCACAAGAGAATCCATGCAATTGTCAAAAAGATAAAACATCAAGAGTTAAAAACTTCTCAGCTAGACAACAAATATACCAATGCGCATTTACTCCAAGTCAATTGTTTCCAAAACTCAATCAGTTTCTATTTAGTGCCAATACTAAATTTGGTTACAATAGTAATTTTGAAGAATGCTTTTCTTATACTACTTGCAATGCTTGTAATAGCAAACTCCAATGATTAAAAGATAGTGATAAGAAGTCTCAACCCAAAAAAACTCAGAAGTTAAGCTGTAATAAGAAAACTGATGAAGTAATTGTTTTGGACAGTTTATCAAAAAAAATAACAAGAAAAGAGATGATAAAAATAATTATGATAGTTATGTTAGTAATGAAGAAGATGATAATGATGAAGATGATGATGATGTGATGAAGATGATGATATTGACGAAGTAAAAATACAACTAGTTGTTATGAATAATAATATAAAAACACCTACAGCAAAAATTCTAACTATTCAACCTGCTAGTTATAAAAATGTTATGGAGAAAATAAATTTAGCAACCAGAAAAATTTTAGGAAAAGAAATTAAATCAATGGATAATTATACTATTTCATATAAAGCTGCAAATGCTCGTGGACCTTCTAATACGCTTGAAGATAAATTAGATTTTCAAGAATTTATTAGTGAATACCAAAAGATAACTTCATCTGAAAAAAGAATGTTAGTGACAGTAACTGTAAAGAGTAATGTAACTGAAAAAAAAAATAGGAAAAACAAAAAGGTAAAGTTTTTTAATATATCTGTGAGATAATAAGCAAAAATTTAATATTTAGAATTTTTTAGAATTCTGATGATAAAAGTAGATCATCTTCTGAAGAAGAACA